TCAGAGGTGCCTGGGTTGGGTGAACAGGCTGCCTGTCTCTGCCCTGTCCGGAGGAGAGGCGGCTCTGTGGGACTGGGAAGGGACACTTGGGTGCCACACGTGGCTGTGTGCATTAAGGCATGACAGCAAATCTGCCTGTCTGGACCCACAATAGGAAGGAAAATGCAACCAACAGGCTTTTTGTATGTGCAGCATCTGGCGTCATTCCTGGTTTAACTTGGATGCATTAACACTGTGTTGTTGGGTTTGGCTGATTTTCCCTGCAGCCCATGTAAGTCCAGCTTCACTTTATCCGACGGTGTTGTGCTTCCCCAGAGTTTGCAGCACTCCCCTTGTTGGGATAGAAACCTCTTGTGTTGGATGTAAACCCTTACACCCTCCAGTTATTGGAAATCCTCAAGGAAATTTGAACTGGCTTCCTATTATTATGCAAGCTTAGCTCTATTATAGTCAACTAATGACAACAAATTGAGTGCTATCCATCCATATCCCAAAACTCCTCAGCAATTGTGCTGAGGAGACTGGTCCCACCCATGTGAATATTGTGAGACTTTTCCCTTTTCCATTGTTCAAGGGTCTGTTTCAGAGTTAGTTGTTAATCTCCAGAATTCTTAGCGGCTGGAGGAACCCACCCAAAGGTTCACGTGGTCCCTGAGCTCTCTTCTGCCATGGCTGTTATTTAGGGGCAGGGTATCCAATGCTGAGGCTGCAGGAGGGTCTTCCAGAGGCTGCAGGGAAGGGTTTGGACTGAGCTTGCTGTGGGTACTGGGAAGTGCTCTGACTGCAAGGAGAGGTGAAACGAGGAGCTCGGCTATGAAGGGCTGTTGTGAACTTGGAGTAACTTTTTGGAAACCAGCTTTTCCTCTTCCCTCCCTAAAAAGGAGGAGAAAACATACTTGAGGTAGTTACGTGTCTCCAGCACCGTTTTCAGTCTCCAAATAGGGAGTTGTGCAATAAGTGCTTTTGGGATCCAGAAGCCTCTGGAAGCAGGAGGGCCCCCCTTTGCTCGTCCCTCCCGGAGCTGTGGCCGTGGCAGTGTGTCCCCAAAGCCCTTCTGTGACTGGAGAGCTGCGGGTGACCTCCCCAGCAGGGAGGGATGACACTGCTGCAGGATGGATACCCTTCACCCTGCTCATGGATCTCCCTGACACTCATGCTCTCCCCTGGCACTGAGCACAGGAGTCAGAGCAGCTGAGTCCAGCCTCGTGTCCCGTCAGTGTCTGTGGGACCAGCTTGTCCAGGAGAGGGGGTGTAACTGTCTTGGAAGTGTAACGAGCCTTTGATGGTCTTGATTAATGGCTGTGTTGGCCAAACCTGCCAAAACTCTGCACCTTATTTCAGGCCTGAGTTCCTCTGAGAATGAAAGTCCAGATTAACCTGCCAGTTGGGCTGGTGACCCTCTGGGTCCCCTCCACAGTGGCCAGTGCTGCTGCTGACCAGAGAGGTGTCAGGGCTGAACCCTGACCTGCTTATGGCTCCTAGCCAGGAGTCCATCTCACTTGACTTTCCTGGGAAGCTCAGTGTTCCTTTCCAGAGGAGTCCTCAAGCTCTGAACCAAGGTGGAGCCATGTTTGGGTTCTGTCCTTGTCACTTGTCATTATGGGCTCTCTATTTTCCAGCTGTTCAGCGAATGGATGGCCCTACCTTTGGCCAGTGGAACAGCAAACCATGGTATTACCAGCGTGTTCCTGAGCCTGTTCAGAGATGTTTTTGTGGGTAGAATGGCCTCTGTTTCCTATCATTTCACTACCCAAGAATTTCCTCTGCCCTGTCTTGCTTTCTCTCCTCTAACAGCAAGAATGCTCTAAGGCATGGAAAGCCAAAACAGAAATGTTGCAAGGAGTGTATATCTAGTCCTGGTGAGCAGGATTTTCTTTTCTTTAAGCAGTTTGTTGACACGGGCCTGGTTTTATCTTTTTATTTTTTTTAAGCATTACAAATGTCTTCAAACTCTTTATCTTAAGGTGATGCCAAAGTTCAGCTGCAGTTCCCGGATGGGCTTGGGCATAGGTGGAGCCTGAGATAGTTGGAGCATTTGTTTCACATTATCTTACTGGGTTTGGGTTTTTTTGCAGTGTCTTGCATATTTTTTTTAAAAGAAATCTCCTTTCATGCCTATGTGAGGAGCTGGAGCAGAGCAGTGAGCAGAAGCTCCGTGTCTGGGCAGGACGTGCTGCTGAGCGGGCAGCGGCGCCTGCTCCGTTTGGGCCCTGCACAGGGGTGGGAATGAGAGTGGCTCGACTCTCCCTCTGCTTCCAAGGGGGTGAGGAATCACCTTCTCCTTCAGAGACCTGGCTGGGCTTTCAGGACCCTTGAGGAGACACTGCCCAGAGGGATCTGAGCTTGCAGGGCATGGCAGTGCTGCAGCTGGTGGGCAAGTGCACCCAGGCTGCTCCTGGTGCCCTGGCAAGACCTGTCTGTGCCACAGGGATGTCCCTGAAGCTCCATGGGTCACCTAAGCAGCAGTGGGGATGAGCTGCCATCTCAGCACCTTCCCCTACTGCTGCAGACCTGCCCCTCCAAGGGCAGAGAGACCTGAGCCATCTCAGGAGCCACGTGTTGGCTTGAGGAACCTCCCAGTTTGCAGAGTGTTTCCCCCATGTGTTTTCCTGTAGCTCCAGACTCACGTGGTGAGAAGCCTCCTGCTGCTGACACTGCAAGCAGGAGTTCCTGAGGTGGTCACAAAATCATGAAATCCTAGAATGGTTTGGGTTGGAAGGGACCTTAAAGATTATCTAGTCCCAACCTCCTGCCCTGGGCAGGGACACCTTCCACCAGCCCAGGTTGCTCCAAGCCCCATCCAACCTGGCCTTGGACACTTCCAGGGATGGAGCAGCCACAGCTTCTCTGGTTGTGCACTGGAGCTCCTGGTCTCAAAGGTGTGGTCTCATCCTGGCTAGAGCAGGGCAGAGGTGGGAGGGCTGGGGACCAAGTCTCCTGCACATGCCTGAAGCTGTATGTGCCCAAAAGTAATGGCTCAGACTTCCTTGGTTTTGTCCTGGAGAAATGGAACCCCAGCTTTTGTTTAGAGCCCAAAGGCCCCTGGGAGCACTGGTCAGACACGTCCATCCACCTGAGCTGGCTGTTCACCCACGGTGCTGTGGGGGAGCACCCGTGGGACCCCAGCTCTGCCCACTGTGGCTGCAGGACACTCACCCTACCCTTGGCAAGGGACAGCAGTGCCCAAACCACTGCTGGCAGCGTTTGGAGTGAGGAGCAGTTAACCTTGATTGAACTTGGGCAGGGAACAGGAATCATGTTTGAACAAGTAGAATAAATTACCAAGAAAGGGACTTGTTCTCACTGAAGCAAGGAAGTGGCATATGGGGTTTGTCTCTGTGTGGGGGTCACTGGCTGGTGCCACCCCAAAGGGCTGTGAGTTCTTGCAGTGACACTTCCTTGGACTCCAGTGTCAGGTTGTTTTAGGAGGGCTTACATGCTGCTTCTTGCTACTGACCATGCTTTTCCCTGGGCTTTTCCCCTTGTGTGTAATGAACCTTTTCCCAGTGAGTTTATTTAATCCAGATGTTTGTATTTTAGATAAACCACCACTCACAGTGCCTTGCTGATACTCAGCTTCTGTCTGACTCACTAAGATCAGTCAGTTAAACCCATCAGTCAGTGGGTACCTGGCACATGGCTCCAGAACTGGCGGGATTGTGAATGTTACATGGAAATCTTAGATGCCTTTATCCCTCCTGGAAAGCTGAAGAACCAAAAATGTCCTCTCTTTCTGGATATTAGAGACAGAGTGGAGTGTTTGGGCATGTTAAGGTCATTTTTAAGATTTACTTTTATTAACTCCTGGGGTGAGAGGTCTTTTCACTGGCTTCAAAATCTTGGGACAAACTGCAGGTGGAAAATTGAGTGAAAATTACAGGTGAAAGATGAGGCAGAAGTGAACTAGCAGTCCTAGGGCAAAGGGAGCTGAAATGGGCCATTTTGTACCCCTTTGTGTTTTTCCAGGATGAGCAGCCTTGTGTAGAGATTTATTAGTTCTGGGCAAAAAAAAAAAGGCATGTAAAGGCCTGTCATCTACCTTAAAACTGGCAAACAAACCTCTGGTCATTTCTAGAACATCTGTTTATAGAACCTTTGTCCTTGTTAGCAAATTTTACTTGTTTCCAAATAAATGAAATGTCTTTCCTGAGTGCCATCAAATGACCTCATCCTCCTGAAGGCTGCAGAATGAGTTTGAATGTCAGAGAAGACCGTGGGGTGCCCCAGATCCATGCAGGAGCTTTGAGGACCCTGGGAGCTGGTGCTGGAAGTGGGGGAGGTGGATGCAGAAGGAAGGAGTGCTGAAAGCATCTTCACTGGCTTCACACCCGAGCAGAGCTGCAGAACCTGGAGCTGGACAGAGCTGGGGCAGCACAAGGGCCCCACAGGACTGGGGAGCAGCATCTGTTCTTTCACCTGTTCTTTTACTGCTGTTGATCCCTCTCTTTGAAAATAGGTTTTGGCAAGAGCAGCCTCTGCCAGCGTAACTGGTAGTGACTGAAATAGTGTATGATCTTGTAATGAAAGACTGTCACAGCTCAGAGACACATAGAATAGGCTCAGATTCCGTGGGCAGGCACCAGCCTTCCCCAGCACTGGAAACCTGTGCAGCCTTGCCTGTGCTTTGCTGGAGTGTGAGCCCTTGAGCCTGTCCCAGGACCAGGGAGTTGGGCATTGATGATCCTCGTGGGTCCCTCCCCAGTCAGGATGTTCTGGTATTCAGACGGGCTCTCAGGATATGTACAGGTCTTGAATAGTCAGTGCCTAGAACAAGGGAGATTAAAGATCTTCCATAAAAGCTCAATAAATGGGAGCAGGGCCCAAAAAGGGGCTGGGAGGTGCGAGCCCTGTGCGTGTCATGAGCCCTCATGGGAAATGCAGACTGTGAGGTCCAGAGTGGTCAGAAACCTGCATGGGAGGTCAGAAACCTCCCCCTGGCAATGCCTGGGGACTGAAGGTGGTGTTTTTTGCAGCAGTGGATGGTGGGTTAAGCCCCGTGGTTTGATCTCTGACTGCACAGACTTGGGTCTGCTGAGCTGGGGTGACCGTGGTGCTGCCATTGCTCCTGCTGGGCCTGGGACAGTCCTTGTTTTCCTTCAGCTCATTTTTACAGGGAACAAATGTGTCTTTCAAGCAAGAGCCTGACAGTTCCTGTATAAACATCCAGGCTGAGATAAATCCAGCGTCTCGTGGTGTCACCTCACCCTGGTGCCTCCTGCAGCACTTTGTTTTTGTCTCCTGCCATTCCCTCCTGCGTTCTTCATGTTCAGAGAGCTGTGTTTGATAAATTCATGGGACAGACACTGAAATAGGTTTATTTACCAATGGTATTGGCTCCTGGTGTGGATTTTTGCTCTTGTCTCTCCTGTTGGGAGGTTGTTTGGATGTCTCTGCAGCAGTGAGTGGCCATGGATATGAGTGACTTTTTTCTGTGTTCAGTGAGCAGCACAAAGTGCAGCACAACTGCATCCCTGCATCCCCCATGTCCCCCCCTCACCTCCCCAGAGCCTTTCCACTGTTTCCTGTTCACTGTGGAAGTCACCCATAAAGCCCAGTGCCAGAAGCATGGAAATGTGCCACATGCCCAAAATACCCTTGGAGAAAGACCAAGGAGGTCCCAGCTGCAGTAAAACAAGTTTAGCACCAGGTTATGGTAACACACCTCCATGTCTCCTGTGTGATCTGAATTGCACAGATCCATGAGCAATACATGACCTGTACAAACTGAATCAAAATCACCTTTAAATGAGACCTGAGGTCTCAGTGGACGAGGTGAAGGTGGCTGCCCAGTGTGGCCACGTTGACTGGCTTTGATGTGCCATCCCCTCCATGCTGTTCCATTTTCCCTCACTTTGAGGTGAACCTTCATCCCAAGCATCCCTAAATGAATGTGTAGTGGGGCTGCATGGACATGGTCAGTTGGCATCTGGGAGGTTTGAGGCTTCATGGGACATAAGGAATGGCTGAAGAAGTCAATGTCTGAAGGACAAAGCACACTCTCAGTGCTCTGTCTGGGATAACCCCTGAGGATAAAGCCTCTCCAACAGGGTGTCCTGCTCTTTTGCAGATGTCGGGGAGCCAGCCACAGATGGGGAGAGCTGTGCCTTGCCTGCGCTGCCGAGGGACCTGCATGGGCTTCGAGCCACACTCCTGGAGGTAACTCCTGTCCTGGAGGGGCCCTGCCTGGCCATGTCCTTGGGTCCTGTTGGTGTTCAGCCTCTGGGGACTCTGAGAGCAAAGTAGAGATGCTGAGCTGAGGGGATGCTCGTGCCCCTGCTCTCCATCCCCCTCCTCACTGCTCCTGCTCTTTTATTCTTTGGGTTCAAATCTCATCTACAAGTGCTTAAAGCAAGCTGAGGCTCCATGCAGTGGGTTTGTCCCACTTTTGCTATCACTCTGCAGCCTGCTGTGCTTGGCCAGCCCCCCAGTGCCCTGCAGTGTGTGTGTGCCAGAGCACAGCCCCCTGCCTGCCACACGCTGCCCTCTCAGCTTGTTTGGGAATACTGAAAACAAGCACAGCCCTGCTGGCTGTGGAGGCAGGGAAGTGCAGACCCAAATGACAATCCCACGTGGTCAGGAGGAGCTGTGCTCAGTGCCTGGCTGTCACCCTTGTCCATGGGCTCAGAGCTGGGGTGTGCCCAAGAGACACGGGCTCAGCCTTGGTGCTGTATCTGGTCCCATCCCGCCTCCTCCCAGCTGAAAGGCTGTGCTTAGTGCCAGAACGTCTCATTTGAGATTTCATCTTCAATATTTCCTTTTAAGAGCACTAATTGAAGTGAATAGCCACTGGTGGCAGTAGCTGGTGGGAGCTGCCCAGGCCAGCATGCCCTGCTCGGGGCAGGGATGGGAGGCTGCTCCCTGCACTAACAGCACAACAAAGGGGCTTTCAAATGGAAGGCAGCCCTACATATGTCACTAATTAAAAGAGAATTAGTGCCCCCTGAGCTGCCTTGCAACACTGGACTCCTTTCTGTGTGCCTGCAGAGCTCCGGGGTCTGTATGAGTGCGTAGCAGCAGCACAGGAGCCTGTGGCCCAGCTGTGCTGGCTGCAGCTGGAATGCCTTGGACACTGTCAGCTCCCTGTTTTGATACCTCAGCTGGGTGGAATCCAAACTTTAAAACACTCACTTGGTGGAAGAACTACTTTTTTTTTGTTAATTGACTCCATTAGAGGCTGGTTTGACTCATTCTTGCTCCAGGATCCTGCTGAAATCCTCGGGATTATGTCAGAATTACTTTGTCCCTTTTGTTACTAGTGTTTGATGGCAATGCTGGCCAGCAGAGAGGAGCCTTAGACATTTGTCTGTGTGATTTATAGCTATTACAGTTCAAATTATAGTCAATTAAGCATCAGTTCCTTCTAGCAATCACTTTTTTAATGCCATGTAAAGCTTCCTAAGAGGTGAGGCTGGTGCTGGGCCATTGGAGTCTGATGAGGAGACTGATCTCCAATTTAGTGATGCTTGAAGGGGTTTTTGAAGCTCAGGGGAAGCAGCAGCTCCCCACAAGTGGGAGTTTTTGTAGTGACAGGACAAGGGGGAATGGTTTCACACTGACAGAGAGCAGAGTTGATGGGATATGGGAAAGAATTCTTCCCTGTGAGGGTGGTCAGGCCCTGGCACAGGTTGCCCAGAGAAGCTGTGGCTGCCCCATCCCTGGAAGTGTCCAAGGCCAGGTTGGATGGGGCTTGGAGCAACCTGGGCTAGTGGGAGGTGTCCCTGCCCATGGCAGGGGGTGGAGCTGGATGAGCTTTCATGCCCTTTCCAACCCAACCCGTTCCATGAATTGTACTGAGCCTTCTGTCCTGCAGTGTGACCCTGGGCTGGGTTTAACCCCTGGAAGAGGCTGACACTCCGTGACCCCCCCGCCTCCCACAGCCCAGCTCACACCCAGAGGGTGATGTCTCTTGTGGCCCACAGGAAGATCTGCAAGTCGTGCAAGTGCAGCCAGGAGGAGCACGGCCTGAGCTCGGAGCTGGACGATGACCGCAAGGTCGGGCGCCTGCTGGCCGACTCCAGGTACTCCTCGCTGACCGCGCGGCTCAAGGGCGGCGACGGCGTCCGCGTCTACAAGAGGAACCGCATGATCGTCACCAACCCCAACATCTCGGGCAAGGACCCCACCTTCGACACCATCACCTACGAGTGGGCTCCCCCGGGGCTCGCCCAGAAGCTGGTAAGGCTTCATTTCATCCACGGCCTGTTGGGTGGGTCACTGAGTCAGGAACAGAACTCAGCTCTGGAATAAAGTTATTGGGGAAAAACAGTAAATCCTGGTTTGCCTCAGAGAGCAGAGGTGAACAGAGCACTCTGTGTTTTGGAAAACCATATGAATAAGCAGAGTAGGTAGGAGAGGGGGATGGAATGCCTTTGGGGTTTACAGGTTGGTTTACATTTCTAGGAGAAGTTTTAATGGAGTTTACAAGTAGAAAGCTCAGTCTGTTGGTAAAGCTCATATCTAATGAAAGCATTGCTGAGGAGAGATCCCATCCCTGCTGTCCTACAGCCCTGCACAGCCCACGTCAGCATCTGCCAGCTCCAGGCAGGATGTGGGAGCAATTCCTCCAGGCCTTCCTGGGGTGTCTGGGCTGGGCAAGCAGAGGAGCAGGAAGGGGTTTGACTTCTCCTGGTGGTGGGCAGTGTGGAACAGGGTGGGCACTGGGTGGTTGTGCCCCCGGGCCCCCCATCTCCTGCTCACAGGGAGCATCCCTTCGCTGCTGGAGGATGTCCTCCCCTGGGGCAGTGGGCTCAGAGCCTCCATTCCCAGGGCTCCTCACACTCCCTTTGAAGAGCAGCAGCAGCCCAGCCCTGTTCCAGCAGACTTGTGGAGCTTCCTGCCTCCGGGAACAGGAGCAGGAAGGCTTCTCGTGCCAGGGCATGTGAGCCTGGAGCAGAGCTGAGCTCTGTGCTGAGAGTATCCTGCTTGCATGGGCAGGAGCTCTGCCCACCTCTGCTGCCAGAGGAACCCCTCCCAGATCCAGCTCTGGAGCTAGGAATTTTTTTCCTTACAGTTAAACATAATCTGGCCCAAATAAAAAATATTTTGTAAAGAGAACTCAGGATAAAAAGAGTGTGGTCCTTTGCCAAGGCCTGGATCTGAAACCAAGCCCCCAGCCCTGCTCCACCTCCCTCCCCTGCCCAGTTTCCTTCCGGACAGGCTGTGTGGGAAGGGATGGAAGTGGTTTTCGGTGTGTGGAAGTGTGAGCCAGCAGAGCATTTCTTGAAGGAAAGCATTTAACTGGCTTTTCACTGTGCTGTGGTATAAAACCATTCTGTATTCCACTGTCAGGGGTGGGCAGGGAAGAGCTTCTGCTCCTCGGATGACACAAATAGCTTAAAGCTGCTGAAACTGCAACCAGATTTTTTTGAAGAAGAACTGGAGATACGAATGTGGAAGTGCAGCTGCAATCCCCAGGGACAGACTGGTTAACTCTCCCTAAAACCCAGCGGCCCTCAGCCCGTTGGACAGGCTGACTGGGGGGTGTGAGCTCTGTACTGGGGATGCACAGGGGGCTAATTGGAGCAGCACTGGGCTTAACGAGGGGCCGTGACCCTGGTGCCCCCCTGCTCCATCATGTGCCCGCAGCCACCTCTGCCCTCCCTGTGCTCTGGGGGGAGCTGGCCCAGCAGGAATGTTTGTGTGACCAGTGTTAGCCTTCCACAGGTCCCAGGGGGAATCAGGGAGCTGGTGAGGGATGGGCAGAACAATGATGGTGCTCTTCCCCCAGCCTAGGATTTCTGGGGAACCCGGGATCCGTGGCGGCTGCGGGGTGGTGCTGCCAGTGCCTCGGGCAGGGCTGGCTCCTTGCCCTGAGGGGTGCCCAAACTCTGTGGCTTCTGGGCTGATTTCATCTTTCATGGCCCTGCACTCTCTCCCTTGGGAGTGTGTGTTTGGAGTGACCCTGAATGCAGCCCTGTGGGAGCCCAGGGGCACTGGGGAGTCTGGGGACACAGAGGGGCCCTGGAGATCCCAGCTCTCCTCTTCCTGCAGCATCCAGCTCCATCCCTGCAGTGCTGGCAAGGGGCAGCTCCAAGGGTACAAAATATTTCTGTTTAGGTTTTATAGAAAGAACTCAGGGTAAAAAGGGCAGATGGGGAGCATGGTCCTGTGCCAAGGACTGTGTCCAAAAACAAGCCCCAACCCTGACCCACCTCCCTGAAGGTGGGGGGTCAAAAACTTTATGAAAGCTTTTGATGTCTTTATCGTGCCTGGATGTGCTGGAATATATCTTGGTTCAAATAAACAACGTTCAGGAGCTTGGAGACAACGTTGATAAATTTTGGCTTGAAGATCAACTTGACAAATTTTGAGGAGAAGAGCTGGATGTCAGCCACTCTCGGGATAGTTTAAAGGGGATTTGGGCCAAAAAGCTGTTAGTGCATAACTGCCTCTCTCCAGTGGTTTCCTTCTGAAGGCAGGCTGCAGACTTGGGATGGCTTTTAACCTCACTGGGCTGAAGTGGTTGGTCAATAATAGGAGGAAGTTCAGAGCACGTTCTCATTAAGCAGTGCCTGGAGAAGTCATGAAGTGGATACTCAGGGTCCCTGGGGAGAGGGAGAAGAACAGGTCATAAAATAGCTCCAAAATCAGTAGTGAACAGTGAAATCCTAAAAATGCTCTTCCTTAAAATTACCTGCACCCAGGCAACGTAGTGAAGCATTGACTGTAACAATATGTGGTAGCAGCAGACGTAGCAACTTTTTATTATCCTTCATGTCAATGTTTGGTGTCAGGTTGGATTTTTTTTTTTTTCCCTTATCTTTTCTCTGGACACATTTAATGACATCTGCAATTATATCTTCAAGCATTCCCTTGATCAGGAAGTGACATCCCATCACATGTTGGGGCAGATATTGAAACCTGTCCCTGAGCAGGCTTTAAGGAAGGCTCGAGGTTTTGCTTTTTTTGCTCTCAGCACAGACACTTTGTGTTGGGAATGGAGAGGCTGCACTGGAACAGGAGGCTCCAGGTGCCCACGCTGTTCTCCTCTGTGTGAGTGCTCATTAGTCTTGGCACGTTGGTAGTGGGTTGAGAATCTTTCCCATTCAGATCCCACCATGTCACTGCTCTGCTGGAGCTGGTGCTGTGGTGAGGGCCGTGCAGGGCAGCACGTGCTGTCCTGGTGTCCCTGGTCACACAGCAGCGGGTTTGGTTTTCTCTTTGCAGTTGTTGGATACCACCGGCAGTGCCTGTGTGAGCCTGGGAGGAGCTGTCAGGGAGTTCTTGTCCCTTTCTCCTGCCATTCCTATTAGGATTCCTCAGGCCTGTAAAAGCCATTAGTGCACCGGATCACTCCCCCAGCATCCTGCAGTTCTCCAACCTGCTGTTCCTGAGCAGCCTCTTCTTCCACAGGGCACAGCCTTCCCAGGAAACTGGACATCAGCCCTGCCATTGCACAGGGACACAGTGTACTGAGTCGTGATGTCTAATATCCCAGTGTACAGTGATTTTAACTTACACCCCAAGATGCAGGGAAGAAGCCCTGCTTCCATTAAATCATTATCTGTTGCTAGTTTCCTCTCAGGAATTCTGCCTGGCAGCACTGTTCTCTGGCTCAGAGTAGCCCAGGTGGAAGGGACTTGGAAGTTTTTCCCAAGGTGATGAGTTGTTCAGTGCTGTGCAAGCATTTCTGTATTTAAAAGCCTGGCCCAAACCAGCCCATGTGCCACAAACAGTTAAATCTCTCTGCTAATTCTTTTTAAATTGAGTTCCCAAGTGCTGACCCAGTAAGAAGCAAATCTAATGCAGCTGGATGCTGGTCTGACAGGGAATGGCAGGGAGCCAACTGGCTGCCCTGTCACTCTTCACACTACAATAGGAAAAATGCCGGAGTGGGAAACTCCCTTCCCTTGTCCCCAGCCAGAGAAGTTAACTGTGCAGCCCCCACGTCCCACAAGCACTAACCCAGCCTGGGACAGAGATGGGCTTACTCTGACTTTAAGGTAATGGCAGTTGAATTGGAGATTTATTTTGGATATTGTCTTGGCATTTCCTTTCCATATCACAGGGCACTGGAGACCAAATACCTTCCCTCTGCTGGGAAATCAGTAGTGGGGTGGAGTTGGTGCCTGTTGATGTTCCAGACCCAACTGCTATTTAACTACTTTTTCCTGTATTAAGATAAAATTTTTAATTGATAAAAGGGGATATTTTACTGTAAACTGTGCTCTGTGCAGCCCTGGGGGCTCTGGGATGGCCTGGGTACAGCCCCTTACCCACTCCCTGCAGCTCTCGCTGTCCTAGCACAAGGCAGAAGGAAACTGGTCTTGGATTTTGATGTTTATGGGCTTTTAGACTTTTCAGCAACCTTGTTGTCAAATTACACAGAAAAGTATCCTGGTAGTGCCAGCAAGGGAGGGTGTGCTGGGATCTGGGTGTGAGCCAGCAAAGCAGGTCTGTCCATGCTGCTTTGCTTTCCTGGGCAGGCTGGGTTTTGTTTGAAACAAAACAAAACCTCTCCAAAAACAGGCAACCTGTTTTTGAGGGTGAAGTGATTAAGTACAGCCTGCCTGCCACTGGCATCTGAGCCAGTTCAGCCTTTTATTTCCAAACTGTGGGTTAAAACACCTCAAAGGGAGAAGGGAGGGGAAGGGTCACGTTTTCTGCCATTACTCCATGAGTGGAGCGTCCCACACCAAGCTCCTGCTTCCCTGCCACGGGCAGTCAGAGTAACTGGGTCTGTCCCTGTCCCAGGCCATGCAGTAACTGGGTCTGTCCCTGTCCAGGCCATGCAGTAACTGGTCTCTGCCCATCCAGGCCATGCAGTAACTGGTCTCTGCCCATCCAGGCCATGCAGTAACTGGTCTCTGCCCATCCAGGCCATGCAGTAACTGGTCTCTCCCCGTCCAGGCCATGCAGTAACTGGTCTCTCCCCGTCCAGGCCATGCAGTACATGGAGCTGATCCCGAGGGAGCTGCAGCCGGTGGCGGGCACGGACGGGGCGCTGCAGCGGCGGCGGCGGCTGGCAGGCAGCTCCCGCTGTACGACCAGGACCCGGCGCAGTGCCGCGGCCTCGCCGAGGGCGCGAGCACCGCCTGATGGAGGAGTTCGTGAAGAAGTAAAGGCGAGGCGCTGGGTGTGGGGAGGTGGCACTGCCGGCCAGGCCGGCAGCCGGGAAAGACGAAAGGAAGCCCCAGGATAAGAACATCGACTCCAGCAAAACCCCCGAGTCCACCAACGGGCCCTGGAGAGCGTGGCCGGGCACTACGTGAGTGCTGGGATGGGGATGGATGGGAGGGATGGGATGGGGATGGGATGGGATGGGATGGGATGGGATGCGGATGGGATGGGATGGGATGGGATGGGATGGGATGGGATGGGATGGGGGCACAGGGGGATGGTGCTGCTCCGGGCTTGGGGAGCCTTCAGGAATACAGTCAGTCTCAGCTGGATGGGGAAAAGATGGCACCAGCCAGGGTGGTCTGTTCCTTGTCACCATCCTGCTCCCGTAGGCTTCTCCACCCCTGCTGCAGGTGCTCAGCCACGTCGTGCTGTGCCTTGGTGCAGCTCTGGGAAGCACCCTGGAGAGACCCTCTGCTCCAGCAAGCCCTGCTGAGCACAAGGGGCTGTCTGACAGCGGTGAAAGGGTTTCTCCTCTTCCTCATTGCCCTCCCTCCACAGCAAAGGCCAAGGTGAGGGGATTCTTGCTGTAGGAGCTGGTGATTTCAACTTTGGAATCTTGGCAGCTCTGAAAGGTCGGGCATCCCTGGATGATACGGTTTAGTGTGTGGTGGTATTCAGTTGAGGATTAAACTGATGAGCTTGGAGGTCTTTTCCAATCTTAATGCTTCTATGGTTCTGTGATGTGAGCCAGTAAGGTACTTGCAATCAGAAGCTGTTTCTCTGTGAGTTAGTGTTTCCAGGTGGGCTTCCAGCCCAGGGTGAGTGGAAAGACCAGAGCTGACGGGAGGTGATGGCTCAGTGCAGTTACCACAGAGCTGTGAACATGGAGACGGTGCTCCCAGGGCTGTAATTATTGCTCTGGGGAGATTTAAACAGCCACCCTGTGTCCCTGGGAATACAAATACATTTCCACAGGGAAATGATTGAGATTCTCCAACACCCTTTTAGATTTATGTTCCCCCAGCACTGTCTGGAGTGGCCTCTGTGGCTGCTGAACAGATGCTTATCATAAAATATGGTGAGTGGAAATATCTTGTCCTGGCCTTTGTGAGAGTGACTTGCAGCAGAGGATTTAAAGCTGAAAAAACAAATGGTGTCCAAGTGTTTTTAAGAGGAGATTTTTTCCTGCCATTCCTGCACTGAGGTTGACATGTTAAGAGCAGTTTTCATTTTCGGTCCATATTGGGTAATGTCTCCCCTCTGCCATGGCCTGTTAATGTGCATCTGACTTTGAGTCCAGTGGCACAGTAAAGGTTTTCACTATTGCAACAAAACACCGAATTGGACAAAGAATTGTAAGCTAAAAAAATAGCCTAAAAAGGAAGGTTTCCCTTAAACATTTCAATAAGTTGTCATAGTGATAAAGGTTTACTTAAACTGCAAGTTTGTCCTTTCAAATAAATAAATACATAACTGTGATGTTATTCTCCTTGATTTGAAGCATCATTTTTCTCAAGGCACCAGCTGAAAAATGGAACAGCTTCCAAAACAGTGGCAGATCCAGTGGGATGGCCACAGCGTGCAGCCCAGTGCATGGCAGAGCCATGGCAGGCCCAGTGTCAATCTCTGTGAAGGCAGCTGAGCTCAGGCAGCTCCTGAACTCTTTTGGGCTGCAGAGAGGGCCATCACTGCTGTAAGTCTGTCCCACAAGCTGAGTGTTCTCTACCAAGCACAAGATTATCCTTAACCCCCTCAGAAGTGGGGACTCCTCTGGTGTTACAGGTCACTGGGCTGGAATCAAATGGAATCCTGAAGCAAGGGGTCCAAACTAGCAGCTGTTCCCAAAAGCTTGAGGCCAGCAGTGCAGGGAGTGCTCTGGGGAAGGCTGGTGCTGTCTGGGAGCTCCTTCCCTGGGAGCTGGCACTGTAGGACAGGAGCTGCTGAAGAGAGCAAGCTGAGAAAAGCTTAGGAGAACAGGACACTTTTTTGGCCAACACCTCTGGTAATTCAGCTAATAAAGTCTTCACTTCTCTCCGTGCACAATGGAGATGTAAAATGAGCACCAATCCCATCTCAAATTGGAAGAGCCCCTTTTATGTAGTGTGTAAATGGCAGGGGATGGAGGTTATATGATGCTTGGAAAAAGCCCTGTGAAGAATTTTTCCCTGTGAAGAATTTCCATAGAAAGAAACACCAAAATAAGTTGGTTTTTTGACAGTTCTTGTTGGCGATAAACTTGAGCTCAGGGTTGGAAACTGCTGTGTTTGTTCTCACTTTAGATCCTGCAAGATAAGCAGAGCTGGGATGGTGGGTCTGTGGCTTCTCGGGGCTGACAGAGCAGAGGCAGCTGCAGGGTTGGGTTCTGGGGCCCCAAGTCACCCAAACTTGGTGCCTCGGGGAGGTGTCGGGGGTGGAGGGAAAAGGCCTCAGTCCCGTATGGTGGGTGCAGAATTCCTTGGTGCCTATCCATCCACGCTGCTGGTGTGCCAGGAGTGCTGCTCTATGCCAGTCACTCAATGCTGTTCCTGTTCCTCCAGAGCAGAAATCCCACAGTTTCTGTGCCGTCTCCCCCTTCATTGATGCTGGGCTTGGAGTGCTTGGAGTCTTGGAGCCCTCCGAGGTGGAATGAGCATTGTCAGCAGACATATCCCCTTTCAGCAGAACAGCCAAGCCAGGAAACATTCTGTCTGTGCTCTTGTGCTGCCTCTTCTTGTCAGAATGGATTTCCTGGGAAAACAGGAGATGCCCATCAGCGCGGTGGAACCGCTCCAAGGGCGGCGGGTGGTTACTGACAATCCAGCTGGATGAGGGAGGAGGTGATGGCAGAACGTGGGATGCTGGAAGTATCAGTGACCAAACGGAGAAAAGGGGGTGTAGATAATCCCGTGGCCTCCTGCTGTGTATAACAGGAGGGATGAGAGTCAGGAAACACTGTAGATGCAAAGGTCAGTGTCTCAAGCTCTCACATGTGAGTAGGTGGAAGGGGCTGGTGATGGTGGTGGAAATCTGTCCCCTCCCCTGTCTCTGCCCCATCCCTGATGTCCTCCTGCAGCTCAGGGACTGTTAGTTTACCTTCTACTGAAAAATCTTATTTTCGTGTCTCTTCTTTTCTGGAGCAACATGGTCTAGCAGAAGGTGTCCCTGTCCATGGTAGGGGGTCAGAACTAGGTGATCTTTAAGGTCCCTTCCAACCCAAACCATTCTATGGTCCTATGATTTCACCCACCTATTAGAAGCTGTTGACTTAAGTCAGGGTGTTGATAAGTGAAGTTGTCACCTGAGCAGAGGGACATTCCCAGTCCCAGTCCCTGTGCCACCTGGAGCAGGGACAGCACTGTGCCAACGCTCGGGTCGGGCACAGCAGAGTAACCACGACACGTGTGACACACAGGCAGCTCCTGCTGCCTCAGCCAGGCTGCTGCAGGGATTGCTGGTAGAAATCCAGCCATGGCGCTGCTGAAGAGATTCCAGCTGCTGCTGAAGAGTGTTTCTTGTCCGGAGTGACGAAGGCCAGACTCGGAAGCTCTTCCCCTGACCTGGACTATCCAGCTTCAATGGGAATGGGACAGCATCCTGTCAGCCTCTGAGTGGAGCTTTAGTGCTGGCTCTGCACTAGTCACAGGATCGCTCTGTGGGCACACATAAACAGCCAGTGGTTGGTCTTGTGTGTAATGTGCACGGATGCTGTTAATCCTGAGATTAGCCATGGCTAATTCTGGCTCTTTGGCCTGTTAAATGGAAAATGCTGTTCTGAAACTTGTGGAGTGACATCTGAGTTAGGCACAGATAGAAAGCAGTGAGAAAAGACCAAAGTTCCTAATCTCTTTGTAAAATTACATCTTTGATGTGCTGCAGTGCTGCACTGTAGGAATTCTTAACTCTGTCTTGCAGGACCTTGGGATTCCAGTGAAGGTTTTAGCCTGGGGGATCCCAAAGGGCAGTCACTTGGCTGGTGGTGGGTAGTGCTGTTCCTACCTGCCCAAGGATATGGCTGGAAGAAAGTGAGCAGTAGTCTAGACAAATATATTTATAATTACTTTTGATGTGTATTACAGCTTGACACTGTCCATAGGTAGCACTGGTCCAGGTGTTTGCCCAGGATGTGGAGTGATAGTCCTGGGGATGTTGGCCCTGCTGGCCATGGGTGCCCTATGATGCCCTGTGTTGTCTGCTTTTGATTGGCACTGTCCTGCTCAGTGCTGTGGGACGTGGAGCAGCAGCACAGCAGGTCCTCCAGGCCATGTAGAAGTGGGAAGCGTTGAGGACACGCTTGGAGATGAGTTTGTTCTGTTTTGCTACCGGGGCTTCTGACCAGCTGTGTGGTTCAGAGGGATGCAGAGAGCACATCTGGGAAGGGAGGATCCCTCCCAAGACCTCCAAAATAAGCTGCTCAGCACCCTGTCTTCCCCCTGTGCCCTGGAGCCAAAGGTGCTTCCTCGTGGCTGCAATCCCGCAGGGCTTTGAGCCCCGGGACGGAGGGTCCCGCTGCCCCTCACTGCCGGCCTCTCTCCGCAGCGCTGTGAGACCTGCAAGCAGGCGGTGCCCGGGGACTGCCCCGTGGTCTACGCGGACCGGGCCGGCTACTCCCGCCAGTGGCACCCGGCCTGCTTCGTGTGCTGCCGCTGCTCCGAGCCCCTCGTCGACCTCATCTACTTCTGGAAGGGCGGGGCCGCCTGGTGCGGGCGCCACTACTGCGAGAGCCTGCGGCCCCGCTGCGCCGGCTGCGACGAGGTACCCGAGCCCTGACCCCTGTGCCATAGCCCTGACCCCCTGTGCCACAGCCCTGACCCCCTGTGCCACAGCCCCCCCCCCCCTGGGGCGCCCCTGTGCCACAAGCCCTGCGCCTGTGCCAACAGCCCTGACCCCTGTGCCACAGCCCTGACCCCCTTGTGCCAGAACCCTGAATCCGCCTGTGCCAGAACCATGACCCCCTGTACCAGAGCCCTGACCCCCTGTGCCAGAACCATGACCCCCCTGTGCCAGAGCAGGGACCACTCAGAGACCCTCTGATCCAACCAGTGCCAGGACAGGGACCAAACAGTCTCTCTCTACCTCTGCCAGTGCTGAGATCCTGGCACAGGCTCAGCCAGGGCTTCTGAGCAGCCTGGTCTACTGGAAGGTGTCCCATGCCCATGGCAGGGGGTTGGAACGAGGTGACCTTTACAGGTCCCTGCCAACCCAAACCATTCTATGGTTCTTTTATGTACCCATTCCCACAGCCTGGCCCCCGCGTTGACGGGCTTGCCCAGAGGTGTAGGGCTGGCTGTCCCTGCTCCTGGCACACTCCAGCTTGGCGAGAAGGTGGCAATAAGCAGTGGTGTGTCTCTCTGTCTGTGCCATAGATCATCTTCTCGGAGGACTACCAGCAGGCAGAGGGGCTGGCCTGGCACAAGAAGCACTTTGCCTGCCTGGAGTGCGAGACGCCGCTGGTGGGCAAACCCTTCGCCCTGGCCAACACCAGCCTCCTGTGCACCATCTGCAGCCAGAGCAAGCGCCTCTGAGGGGGGCAGCCGGGGCCCCACGGGCCCCCCAAGGTCCCACCAGGACTGGGGGCATTGGGCAAGTACAGGAGAAGGAGAAGGTTAAAGAAATTAGAGCCTGAGTATTCACTTGCATCCAGCACAGCCCGGGGCGGGTATTTTCTTGGGGTCCTCTTGGATCTGAAGGGAACCCTTATGCCCATGGGTGGGAGGTGCATGGCATACCTGGCAAGGAGGAACTGGAAAGGAGGGGCTGTGCTGTGCTGGTTTTTATCGTCTGTCCAAGCTTCTTATGACTAAGATCTTGCAATAGTATTTTGGAAATAACACATCTCAACAGTAACTTCTGGCATACTAAACCTACGGTCATGGTCAAAACCAAGGGGTGTTTGTGGTTTTTGAAATCCTTACTGGAATTAGGCTGACAGGCTGCTGTGGCTGTGCTAGGGCAGTGGGTTTGAGGAACTTGATCAACCTTCTAAAAGCAAATGGTGTAAAATTGCAGCCACACGCAGCCGTAGCTTTGTCCTCTGCACGTGCAATGGTGTAAAACCAAGGAGTGGGCACACAGGGGGATGGGCTCAGCCCTGTGAGAGGGGCAGGGCACAGCTCTACCTGGGCAGCAACTGGCTCAGCCCTGGAGCTGCAGCCATGGAACTGGAACACAAAGAATTTTGTGGAAAACCGCTTTCCAGCGTAAGGTGTCTTGGGGGGCAGGGAGGGTGTGTCCCTGAGATGCTACAATGCTACTTTACCCTGCAATACATCAGTGACCCCTCCAAGTACCAGGGAGCTGTACCTTCCCCTCTGAGCGAGCAGCACCTCACCCTGGGCTCTGCCCTGCTTCTTGTCCCACAGCTCTCCCATCCCCTCTTGGATCTGATGGGAGTGACACTATCCCAGGATCCAGCACTGAGTCCCTGAGAATTGTATTTGTTCCCTACATCGAGCAATGTCACTGAAAACATTGGCTACTCCAGGCTGGCAGGTGTCTGTGTGCTCAGTCTGTTTTCTTACATTAAAAATCTATGTTATTTGCCAGAGAACTGGAGTAGTTTCTCACCAGGGTGAGTGTGCAAGGAGCTCACAACTGCTGGGGGTTCTTTTTGCTCAGAAGACACTGGTTTCTCCTCACAGCCTGTTCCGTTCAGAGGGTGTTTGCTTGCCTCTGATCAAATAACCTGGAGATGAGAGCTGGGTGGTGCTGTACCTGCTGCGGGGTTGGAGCAGGGGAGCTGTGGGCCCTCAGCCCCTGCCCCAGGGGTCCCTGCTCTGCTGCTGGGGGGAGCAGGGCAGATCCATCCCTGTGCTGGAGCAGGTGGAGGGCCATACCTGGCTGTGGGTGCAAGAGCCTCTCACGCCTCCTCCAGCCCTGTGCACAGCCACCGTGGTGGGTGGAACTCCTGGGAGCCCTGGGGTGTTTGGAGGGAGTCAGTGGGAAGCTGGAGCGGAGCAGGGAGGTCCCAAGGTGCAGAGAGAGGTGAGATCTCCCCCAGCCCCCATGGGTGGCACATTTGCTGCGTCTGGGATCAACATCTACGCGTGAGCACTTTAGAGTCTGGATTTTCCTAAGGGACCCCTGTTCTCATGGGGTCCCTCCTGCCTGGGGAGCTGTGAGGGAAAAGGGGATCCCCTTCCACCACAGCCAGGGTTAAAGTCCAGCCGAGACTCCCTCTTCTCTCAGTGGAGAGGAGGCGGTTCTGTTCCTGCTGCAGAAGAATGTGCGTGGTGGGAGCTTGGGCAAATGTCAGAGCGGAGGCACGGGGAGGGGACAGGGTTTGGGGGGAGCACTGGAGTTGCCCTTTCCTTGTCCCCAACCCTCGCTCCCAGGGACTGTGAGAGCAGGGCTGGGTCATCCCCATCACCCTCCCTGCAGTGGGGTGGTCTCTGACAAGAGAGAGGTCAAGTTCACTTATGTACAAGAAAAGACTCCAGGGAGACCTTGTAGCACCTTCCAGAACCTCAAGGGTGTCCAAGAGAGCTGAGGAGGGACTTTGGACAAGGGAGAGTGGCAGCCCACTGTAGCATGTTCTGAGTTTTGATTTTGTGATCTACAAATTGTAATTCTTCTCTGAAGTCCCTTTTCCAGCACACACTTGCTTCAGGCTTATGGCACTGCTGGCACCTGCTAAAGCCTTGCAGGTATTTCTGCAGCTCATAAAATACTGTCTGCTAAAAAATGTACTGCAATTAAACAGCTAAACAAAATCCTGTGCCTCTCCAGTCTCAGGAGCAAAAGCATGAAATTAATGCATCTAACAGCTCAAAACATATGGCAGTCTTTAATGTTGATTTAAGGACTGAAATTCAGTGCAGGCATGAGAAGATCCTCGCCCCAGTGAGGACATTCACTGTGTTTTATCACCCAAAGCGGAGGCAGCAGCTCCTGGAGGCAGGTGAGGGGCTCTGGGGTTCAGGAAAATCGAATTTACAGGGATGTGGTGCTCCCCCACAGAGCCACAAGCAGCACGTGGGGGATGTGTGGGTCCCACACAGACGGTGCCAGTCGGGGCAGTCCATGAGAGCTGAGCTGGTGAGCTGAGCTTCTCACCTCGTGGGATTTGTTACTGATCCAGCTCTTCCATGCAAGCAGAGGGATAAATTGTCCAGCAGTCAGTTCAGCCCCACGTGCCTCAGGAAGTGACTGCAGTGTTCTAACTTGTGGGGCTGCAAAGGACAAACCCTTCACGTCCCATCGATGGCCAGGGGGGCGAGCACACGGACTTGGTGCCTCCTGAGGAACAATCAGCTCCAGTTCGAGCTCACGGGTTCTGTGGAGTTGTTCTAAACATGACTGACAATACATGGAAATGTTCCTAAAGCTTTAAATAAAGTATTTCTGGATGCAAAAGTTCTTCACCTGCTCCCCCAGGTGACAGGGTGGGAGAGAGGGAGGGCAGAGCCTCCCCACAGAGAGAAGTAACATTGACTGGGCAGAAACCACATTTCAGCAAAGTTTTGCAAACTGAAGTTTTTCAGAGCTTCACTGCTCTGAGTCTGCAAATATTTGCAGTGCTGTCTTATTTGTGGTCCGCTTTTTTTTTAAGGAATACTTGAGGCAGCAGAAGGGCCTCAAGTCTGTCTGTGATGTGGAAGATTTCACCAGTGGAGAGGCAGAGGCTGTTTAAGGACAGCAGCTCTGTGCAGGTCACCTTCCTCCTCTTGGGTTCCCCACAGCATCCCCCCCGGCACTGGGATTATCCCCCCCTGTCCACAGCATCCCCTTCAACACTTGGATCATCCCCACTCAGGGCCAGGTGTCCCCTGGGACCAGAGGAGGGGGTGGCCCTGGCTGTAGGGACATTGCTGTGCCCTGCACATGAGCACAGGGAGCCTGACCTGCTGAGGTGGGGAGGAAAACCACTGGGAAATGAGCAGTGGCTGATGCTGTCACACACCCCAGAGAGAGTCCTTCAGTGGCTGCTGGGTCAGTTATGTATTTGTAATATCCAGGCCAAGGCAAACAATGAAACTTGAAATTAAATTCCTGGTGACAGGGGGACAGTAACTTGCTGTGAAAGAGCTGCCACTCCAAGGCCAGGGGTCCATGAACCCACCAGAGGAAGCTGGTTGGCATCTCACAGCAAGGCTCCCTCCCACCACTGCACTGCACAGGTCTCTACAGACAGAGACAGAAAGGAGGGAGGTTGGGAGGCATTTAGCAGGTTTCCCTGATCTATGGAAAACACCTGGGCACTGAGGTTTATGTATTTATGGGCCCTGGACCCGTGTGGAAGGAGCCCTGTCCTCAGGGTCAGTGTATGGGAGATAGGATCTGTGGGGCACAGATGATGTGAGGGGCCCAGGGCCAGTTCTATACCCCCTGTGCTTCTGGGACTGTGCAGGAAAGGTAGGAAAATCCTTAAAAGAGGGGCAAAATTACATGTCTGGCCTTTCCCTGCAGTGCATGGCTTTGAGAGCAGAGCCCCAGGGGTGAAGGTTGGCACTGATAGTGATTGGGCTGTTTTGCACCATTCCAGGTAAGAACAGTGATCAATATTCCCCTTTACCTTTTATTTCAAAAAAAACCTGTTTGCTTGGGTACCTCTGCAATGAATTGACTCGGTCTTGACTTACTGGAATTGATGGATTCTTCTTATTTACCCCAGTGGTAACAAACGGCCACAGAGAAGCTGCTGATCCTGGGTATAACAGTAAGAACCTGATCCCCAGGTGGAGGACAATTGCCTTAAAGAGAAACTTTTAAGGAGTTTTATTAGTGCAGTCAATTCTTAAAAGAATGTGATTTCAGATACCTGTAACTAATAAACCTCAAAATTCAGTGGCTGCAGGTGAGAAAAACATAAACCAAAGGCAGAGTGAGGTGGCTATATAAACACTACAATAAAACTTGCTTTAAAGACCCAGAGAGAAAAATTTAGAGGAGAAAAAACAAGTATTCAAGAAGTGTTGGTGTGTTTCAGTGGAAACTCTTCCAGAGACCTGCAGCAGCTGCTGCTTTAGGCTGAGCTAAAGAAAGCTCGTCTGGTTGTGTTATTCTGTAAAAAGCCAGGTTAATGATGGCTCTATAATCTAATCTGAGCTTTTAGTTACTTTTTAACTCCCCTTCTTCAGCCACATCACCAAATAAGTAAACCTCTCCACAGAGAGGAGTTTGTGGATTGTTGCCTGACTCCAGGAGCTGATGCAGGTGAGGATTCCAGCAGCCCCGAGGCTCAGGGCTCATCCCACAGTGCTTCCTGCAGGAATGATTGATGTTCTTGCATGTCCGTGCACTGCAGGGAGTTGTAATAAAGTAAGTGGGTGTCCCTGCCCATGGCAGGAGTTTGGAGTGATCTCCAGGGTCCTGTCCAACCCAAACCATTCCATGACTCTGATAAAGAGAGGTGAAGGGCACCAGTTTTGTCTGCCTGGGAAGTGAAGAACCTTCTGTAGAAGTCACAATGGATAGTGTTCAAATAACCCCTGTAGTTGGTTAAGCAGCTTCCAGGAACAAGGGGAAAACCATGTAGTGCGGCTCCAAGGGAGGACTGATGCAAGGGCAGACCCCGAGAGCTGCCCTGTGTCAGCCCCGGAGCCAGCTCACCCTGTGACGGGGGGCTGAGGAGTGGCCGTGGAAGCCCTCAGGAAGAGACCTGGTCTCGTAAAATCACCTCTGTCCCGGGGGCTGTCCTGCCTGCTCTCTCCCACCTTTTCTTTCGGAGAGTTTGCAGCCAAGCCCTGCGTTTAAAGAGGTGTCACAGAGCTCCAGCAGCTGGCGGCGGCCGGCGGTGTTCCGGATGCTGCTGTGCCAAGGAAACACCTCCACATCCTGCGGGCAGAGTCAGTGTTTGGACAGTGTTAAAATATAACCCGCGGTCCTGAGCTCAGCTGGACGCCCTGGCTGTGCCCCAGCCCCTGCCAGCCTGCGAGGCACTGCCTGGCTCGGGGCTCGGGGCTGGCACCGGCACCCGGGAGCTCAGCAGAGCACACACCAGGATCTGTGCAAGCACTGCCTGAGCAGGGGCTGCAGGAACGGGCTCGACTGAGGGCTGGGAAGAAAAACAATTAAGCTGGTCAGGCAAAATATTAGGAAAGAGGCTCTGCAAATATTGAGTTTTTTCTCTCTGGAAAGTAAAGAAGGAGCCTGAGGCTGGGAGCTGTGCTCTGAATATTCATGGGGCTCTGCTGGCCCTCGGGCAATGCTGGCTTGCAGGAGGTAAGGAAAGCCTCAGCTGTTCAGCTCAGCTCAGTCTGTCATTCCCCACAGTAGCACACTATGAAAAAGGCTGGAAAAGTCTGAATGTGGTGATCAAGGTGTATCAGTCCTGATAACACAGAGTGAAATCAGGCTGGACTCCCTTGTGTGCCCGAGGAGAGGAGCCTGGG